TTATGTAGAGTATAAGATATAAATGCAAAAGATTCTTACAAAAAAAAAAAAAAACCCAAATAGTGACACAAATCTCTCTTCTAATGAACTAAGATAAACTATGCATTTCTGATTAACATTTGTGTGTTTGGTTGTTACAAATGGTTCTAAACTGAGTAAACTTCGATTTATTTTCTCCCAAACTAAAACCTATTTTTACTAATGTACCTTAGGTGGAGATTTCAAAAGGAATAGGCGAATGTTAGGCCAAGACTGAAGCACGATTGATTTATCAGATATTGGCAATATCTGTGTGGGTTCCAATTTGTTTCAATCAGCAATATGTGGGATTACCTTTTTCTGAAAATCTTACTATTTTTTAAATAATTTTTTGCCAGTCTAATAAATGAGCAATTCTATTTCAGTGAAAAGTGTGTTTTTTTCTTTTTGTATCTTTCCATATGATTAAGGCTAATTTGTATTTCTTTTCTCCACAAACTGCCCTCTGTTTTCTTTTAACTTTTTGCTCTGTAGAAATGTTATTTTCCTTCTTTATTTTTCAGAATTCTTTATGTTTTAAACTATTAAGCCTTTGATATAAGTTGCAAATGTGTTTTCCAACTTATCCAGCTCTGTGGTGTCTTTTGTCATGGAAATGTTTCAAAAGCATATACAAAAGTAGATCTGTTTCTTATTTTTTCCTGGAACTTTCTAGATTTTACTTCAAATTTAGAAGAGTTTATCAATTTCTTCTCTACATAGAACTTCAGCAATGTTTTATTTTAGTTCCCCCAGGAATTTGTTTATTTTTTTTTAGTTAAGTCCCTGGCCCATTTAAAATTTATCATGATGTGTAGTTTGAAACAAAATCAATTTATTATTTACTTAACATATATACTTTACTCGCTGAATGTATCATCAAATGTACATGTACATATTTATATAGTATATTAAAGTGTTTTATGCAATATATATCATATGTAATATATAAAATGTGCAAAATGTTACATATCACATATATGCCAGTGTTACTCACATGATAGCACTCCACACTGAACTATACTTCTGCCCCTTAGCATAGTAAGGCTGCATAAATAATTGTGTCTAATTCTTTAATTTTTAATTTATTTATGTATTTATCTATTCAGAAGTTGATATTGCATTACTGTAAAAAAAGACTATCAATTATTTAAGAATAGTTAATAAATATCTTCTTTCTTATTTTATGGAAGTTCTGGCTATATTAGCTTTTATTTTTTTAAAATAAAAGCTAATTTTTCAAAAGATCTTTATGATTAAATTGCTAAGCTTTCAAAATCCTGATAGTATTTTAATTAGAATTGTAATTTAACTTAGGGAGCTTATACTTTTGTGCTTTGACCTAAGGAGATAGTGTGTGCTTCTGTACTATATGTTCCATTTTTGTATTTTAGCATGATTTTCATAGTTTAGCTTATAGCTTCTTTGAATATTATTTGTTGGCATTATGTCTTTGTATTTTCTTTTCTGGTTTTCCTTGTTCCTTTTCATTTCATGGTGCTGGAGATGGAAACTTTGGCCTCTCAGATGCTAGGTGAGTACTATACCACTTTTTAAAATTTTGTATCAGGATTCACTCAGGACCTTCTGCTTATCAAGCAGGCCCTTGTGCGGCTGAGCTATATCCCTTACCCTTATACCATTCTTTTGCATACCTAGGCTTCTTTTATATGGATTATCTGATTTATTTCTGTAGGAAAGAGCTATCTTAACTTCTTCGTGCTTATTTTTGTCATTTTTATTAAAAGGGTTCTGTTGTAATTTTTCACTTATTATCTTAGTTTCTCAAGTCATTTGTAAATAAACAGTTTTAGTTTTTTTTCTGATTGTGTAACTCTGAATACTTTCTCTTGTATAAAGAAATTTTTAAATTGTAATGAAAATAATGGGAATTATTTTCTTGTTTATCAGTTTAATAAAACTTTTAGTATAACTGCTATAAATAAGACAATTTTTAGAGGCACACACAATACACTTTAAGGAAGAATCCATCATTTCTTATGTCACTTTTTAAGAAATGAATAAATGTTAGGTTCTGATAAATATCTTTTCTATAATCTATATACATAATCATCGACTTTTAATTTACTGTTCTAGTAATATGATGGATTATATGAAAGAAGTTTTGAATATTGAATCTCACTTTTCTGGAATATGTTTCACTTGGTCAAGATTTAGTGTGTGTTTGAAATGTTGAATTTTCTTCATTAAGATCTGTCTATGTTTTTTACATTGATATTCACATGAGATATTTGAATTTTCACATTTTAAAATTTGTGTCTTGATATTCAAAGTTATACTTGTTTCAAGAAATAAATGAAGTATTTTTTTACTTGTGCTCTGAAAATGTAAATTAATTTTGGTATTGTCTTCTACTTTAAGATCTGATAAAATTCTCTCATGAAAATTTCTGGACACAGCACTTTTTATTAGAAAGCGTTTTTAAACATAAAAAAAATGTTATAGTTGAACTATGTTGAAGGTTAGTGTTCGTAGGTTGTATTTTTTTCCCCTCAAAAATCTATCCATTTCCATTGGTCTTCAACTAATTTATAGAGAAATGAACAAATGGTTAGCTGTTTTTTAAATTTTTTTTCTACTTTAGTATTCTCATTTTGTCATTTTTAATTTTATGAATTTGTTTTCTACTTAAAAATTTAAAGTAGTCTAGCTTATATTTTTGTTAATAGACGAAATCAATTTTATATATATTTGCTATATCTTTTGTTGTTTTATACAACCTTTTTGATTTCAGTTTCTGTCATTACTAATTTCTACCCTCTGTTTCCTTCTTCCTTGCTTTTCTTAGTATACTTTCTGTTTTTTCTAGATTTTTAGTGCAATATTTGAATTATTTTTATTGCCAGAATGCTGATTTTCATTTGATATTTGCTTTTTATGTTCATAATATTATATTTTCTAAAAGGTATGTATCTTCATTTTGAATTCCTCTTTAGCTAAATAGTTAAGAATTGATGTAATTTAAACTTTTAGATAAATGTACGTTTTGGGCTTGCTTTCTTTTTTTTTTTAAACTAACGTAGTTTTTTTTTACATTTCAATTAGTGGGTGTGTTTGTGATATAACTATTCATCAGAATTTTGTAATTTTTGTTACCTTAAAGTTAATTATAAGTGCTCCATGTTTACTTGAAAGTAGTCCTAGCTTTCATTATTATGGTTCAAATTTCAAAAGATGATATAAGATGTTTGTATGGGCTGTGCTGAGTAAGTCTATGAATTTTCAATGAATAATCTGCCTTCGATTTGAAAACTGAGTTATATTTCCTAGGATTCCTTTTTGCTCATAAATCTTATTGCTCTGTTTTCATTTTTATTTATGGTTTTTTCTGTTTCAAATTTTAATTTGCCCATTCTTTTATTGTCAACCTTTTAAAATTACTTTAGTGTTAGTTATGTATCTTAAGTAAAAAACTGTTGGAATTTCCTTTACCAGTTAATATGAAAGCACGGTATTTTAAGGAATGATGTATCTCTCTCCGTCCCACCCTCTCTCTCTGTCTCTCTCTGCATACATATGTGTATAAACACACACACACACACACACAAGCATATACATGTATATATACATATTACTGGGTATATGTATACTATGGTATATGTACATAGTACTAGGTATATGTATATATACTTGATATATGTATACAATGGCATATGTACAAATACATGGTATATATATATATGTATATATCTATATATACATGAACTGGGTATATGGATATATACATGGTATATGTATACCATATATATGTGGTACCCCTCCCCCCATGGTACTGGGAATTGAAATGAGTGTCTTTGCACTGACCTAAAACCCCAGTTCTTCTTTCTTTCTTTAATTTTTTTCAATTTTGAGACAGGGTTCACTACATTCTTAAATTGCCTTAAATTGCTGAAATCGTAATTCTTTTGTCTCAGGCTGCCAGTGTGCTAAGATTATAGATATCCACCACCATCTTCACCTTCCTCATTTATATTTGCTGATACTGATTTTTAATTCACATTTTGGAGGGTATTTTTAACTATATAAAGGTTTTCACCAGATTCTTTTTGTGCTCTGTTTTTTGTAGGAAAGTTATAATTTTTACTCTTATATTTGGGCTGCTACAAGACACATTATACAATGTAATACAGATTATAGGATAATCTCTTTTTTCAGTTTTTTCTGTCTTTAGTATAAAAGTCATTAAATTAAATCCATAATCTTTTCCGTTCTCTCTTTCTTCATATCCCGAAGCATCTGCTTGTCATATCTTTGCTAGCCAGTTGCTGACCACAGAGTAATGTAAGTCATCTTACACTTTTCACGCTCTCACTCTTGTCCTTGAACATTTGATAATTGTGCTGCATCTGTAGTGTCAGTTACTGTAGCATCTAACTATGTGTCACACTAATCACATTATTCTGTTCCTTACAATAATCAGGAATGATTTTCCACTTTAGTTTCAAAAGCAATGCTTACAGCTAGTTCTTATTCTGTTGACTCTCCAGGCACTTTGGTTGCCAGAGGAAGGAGATCCAGATGGAGGAAGGAGGGAGCGATGGGATGTGGGATGAAAGAATCGGGACGTCTTATGTAGGTGTATTAGCTCCACACAAAGAATGTAGACACTGTGTACTACAACACATACAAAAATGGCATTCTAGCTATCTCTGGTAAACAGAAAACCAAATGATTTGGTGATTCCGTTATGCACACATTTTTCTCCCACCTCCCAAACCCAGTGATACTTTACAATAGCCATCATACCTGCATGCAGCAGGATCTACCTCAGGATACACTGTGAAAAATATTTAATACATATTGTAGCAGTCATTTTGCACCTTGAACAATTACTTCCAGATCGCTAACGCACTGGCAGACGGGTTTACAAACAAGCTTTTCACTGCATTTTTAAATGTGGAGTTGGAGTGTACAGTGGAAGAACTGCAGAGTAGAACTTTCCTTCTCCATATTTCTCTTACCTCTGTTTACTTTTATGATCTCCGGAGCCAGCTGAGAGTCGGTCTATGGGAGACCCAAAGCCAGAAAAGCTCCTCTTCTTCTTTGTCTCAATTACATCATTTTCCAGGGAAACCAGTTCATCCAGAAGCAGGAGCTTTGTTGCCAGGTCAGTAGCTGATTTCTCTTCCCTAACTGTGGGTGGTAACTGTGCATCTATGACTCCAGAGTCAGAGGCCTACAGGGCAGAGAAAAGGGATTCCAATCATTTAGACCAAAACAAACAACAAACAAACAAACAAACAAACAAAAATTAAATACATACAGTCAGCTAAAATAGGCATTTTCTACTTTTGCATGAGATGGACATAGTCTAACATTTTGTAATTCCTCATGGAATTATGTTTCAGAGGAAAAATCTAAACATTTTTTGAGGGGAGTGGAGAGGATGAACCCCATAAAAGTAGAATTAATTCAACAGAAAGGAAAACAAAAGAAAATTCCAGACTTATCTCTAAAATTTGCTACTGATCATTCTTTCAGATCTGTCCCAGTAGCGACTGTGTCCTTTCTTCTCATTCCTGCAGCATTTTATCTATGCCTGCTTCATCGAAGCAGTTAGTACATGTTACTGTATACTAGATTGATACTAGATTGGCTACAATACATTTACATTCTTTATTGAATTGTAAATAATGTGACAGCAGTGAGTTAATCTGTTATCTGGTTAATCTTTTATTTGCTCTATGGCTATTCCAGAATTTTGTTCAGAGTTAGCGCTCACATTTTTGATGAATATTTACTGAATGAATTCTGAAAAAAAAAATAAAAAATCAAGCTTTATTCTACTTTCCTATTTTCTGTTAACCACTCATTCATTATTTGGTACAAACCTCTAAAAAATCTACTGTCAGTCGGGTTCTGCATAAGCCTTAAGAGATTTAAAAAATGCAAAAAATCTAGTTTCTATTGGTAAGGAATATAACACCTGCATTTATGTGATATATTAATAAATTTTCATGGACATCTACAGTGCTTCAGTAATCCTAAATACAGTAGCCCCAATAATTTTATGTTCTCAGGAAAAATTTTTGTGTGTTCATTTAGTACATAAATTGTCACATTGTACTTCACACAAGCCATGTAAGTCTGTCCAGTTTGTGAAGTATTTGTCCCTCCTTAGACCCAAGTACAGGGTTAAAAACTCTGCTACTAATAACAATCCCAAGTTATTCTTTAGCCTGTCTTTTTTAACAGACTGCAAATATTCACCTTATAGGAGGAAATATGAGTTCTGGGGCATTTTTTTTTTTTCTTTTCCTCCATTTAATCACTTTCTTCCAACTGCCATGAGCTTGATGCTAACATGGAAACTGGAGAAGGAAGATGCTACAGTAATGAGAAAGAAACCCTGAAGTGTAGGAGATAAACCTTCAAAGCGCAAAGATCTTTGATTTCTTGAAGCATCCTGCAAAACATGTTTTTTCACTCTTCTAACTAACACATAAACAAATAGATTTTTGTTTAAGTATATGTTTAATCTTCCAGGGAAAAATAGCAGAATTCATACAGAAATTATTATTTTGAAAAATGCATTTCTGACTCTTTCTCTTTATGTTATTTAAGAAGTACTGAGAATCTATGTTTTTAATAAGATCAAAACAAACCAAAATAACTTTTCTCTGGGGAGATGTCCTCATATATTTTTCTTTGTATTTAATCAAGGTACCAAGAAAGTATTTGTACTATAATAAAAGCTTTGCCTAAAGGTATGCAAAATTTGGCGTGCAAACAACTTCAAATTTCACATGCAGGCTTAATCTTTATGCAACTGCATTAATAAAAGTGTGGTTAAAATTTTTCTCAATGCCTTTCTGTTTAAGTAACACAAATCTTTATTATCATTTTATGGCTCTTAGCATTTACACAAGTGACTTGTTCTGAATCCACTGAGCAGATCAGTAATGATAGTTGTTTGCCCTTAAAAGTTTCAACCTTGAATGGTACTAGAAATAGAAATAAACTAATACCTATGTCTTTAATATTTCATTTTCAAATCATTTTCCTATTTGTCAGGTTCACCTCCTGATGACTCTAATAGAAATAGATTATGTTTTTAAAAATAAACACATGGCACTGTAAGCTAGTTTTTAATCACCTTGGTTGTTACGTCCACTGAGAGGACTTCTGAGCTCCAGAGCATCAATGTCACAGCCAGGATGATGAGTGCCCTTGGCCGCCTCCAGTCCAGCATCTGAGGGTCACATACATCAGTGTTAGCATTAATTAGTTTCAAAGATAAAGATAGAAAATAGAAGTTCCCAAAAAGCTTATTAGAGGAAAATAATAATAAGTTAAATTATTCACTTTTTTGGGAATGCACTTACACTAACTTAAATAACACGCAGTAGAAACTGTCAGTCTGAATGAAATCTACAAAGCTGTCATTTTCATAGAGATTTAGTTTGGATTTGCACAGATATAACAGTGACTTAATTCAAAGTAAATCTAACATTTGAGAAATTCAGTCCATCTAACTTTATTCTTCATCTAACGCAGAGATTACAAGGTCATGTACTTAGCAGAAAATGCATAAAGTGGTCAAGATACAAAGAACAATGCCAAATGGAGCATAGAGCAGAAAGAATGTGGTAGATAATATATAATACAATATAAATATAATATAATGTAATATAAATTCAGCATTTCAAAAACACCACACATTCCACAGGAGAAAAGCTTTAGTTACATGTGGATTTCTTAAACAAGATTCAAAAGGGTAGTACCTTATAGAAAATTATCAAATTTCAGAATACAAAAATTTTAAAATTGTGTATGGCAAGATACAATAAATAAAATTTAAACACAACTACACAATTAAAGATATATATATATATATATATATATATATATATATATATATATACAAAAGCAAAATTAGTACCTGGAAAATGTAAATAAATCTTATTAATAAAATGTAAAAAAGTGACAAGTAAATAAAAGTAGTCCTAAATTCTGAATGGAAGTTTCATAGAAAAAGAGATAATTTAATGGAAAATAAACACTCCCTGATACATACAACTTATTTAATGTAAATACAACCAGAAGTGATATTATATATACATTGAATTAAGAAAGAACTAAAGTCACTATATCAAATGTTAGAATGGGACCAGGAAACAGGAAGCAGAAAATAAGTTCTAGCAGAGTTGGAAATGGAACCAAGTATCTGGAGAATATTGGCAATAAACAGAAATATTGAAAATCATGTTCTTGCTATGACAAATGTATTTCACTTTTACTGAACATCCCTGAGAAACTCCTACATCTTACTAAGGATATATGTGTCTGAAAATTCTCCACCTCATTGCTTTTAGAAGTGAAAACTTATAATCAAATCTATGTGCTCCATTCAAGACAGAATGCATTTATTAATGCACTCAAACTATGGGCTAAAATAGATGACTGTGCTATGTATGTGCTTACTGTTAAAACAAATGATTCTAATCTATATGTATCTACATGTATAGATCTCAATAAAACACTTTTGAGGAGATAGGGAAGTGTTAGAAAAGTACATGTGACATAAAACCTTTTACTTAAGCAATTCATTACACTTTGAAATAAAAACCTGTAATTAAAATATAAACCAGTGAAACCTGATTAATGATTATGGTTGCCTCCAAGGACGGAGAAAAATAAATAAGATTATTGAGGAATCATAAATAATTCATTTTTAATCTACAATTTTATTTTTTCCAAAATATATTATATTTATTTACTTTGAGTAATAAGTATAAAGATATCTTCTCTAAATTTCTACTTTTTCATAATAAAAAGAGATCAATCTCCACACCAACCAATTAAATCTCACCTATGTTTTATATCAGGCTTGCTGGCTCTCAGTTTGAGCACTGGACCTTTAATCCTGTACAGACATGAAGAGGTGTTGCCCTCCTGTGGGAAGACCACAGGTGTAGGCTTCAACAGCGCCAGGTTGAATGCAAGCTGTGCACTTCAGAGATGGCATTGGCAAAGTCCCTAAAGGTCATTGTTGATGAGTGAGCATCTCCAAAAGCTTCTCTTTCCTTAGTAAAAAGTCAATCATTTGGCAAATTTGTTGGGAACAAAGAGAATTTGGATGCTAAGGTGGAAATTGAAGAATAGGTTTGAGTCCCATCTTGCTATATTATTTTCATGACCTTGGATATGTACCACATAGATCGTTTGAATTATATTTCTTTTCCTTGCTAAACTCTTCCATATAGAGGAAGAGATTTGAAGTGACTGAGTTGATTTATGCATAATCCCTTTATTTTGTGTAGTATTTGTAATCTTTAAATGAAGGGACATGTGTGGAGTTTCACTAAATATTTCCTTAATAACAACTTATTGTTTGATATGACCAAGATTTTCTTTATGACACTTCAAAAATTATTATTGTCCTGTAAAACCATGATGTGTATCTTAGCAATAAATGTTACTGGCTAGAATAATATTTCACACAGAGTAACATCTCTATAAAGTAAACTGAATAAGACAAAAATAGAGAGTAAAATATTTTACTATGATCTATAACATTTATTTGATGAGATGATCAGTCAAATAATTTAGCTGTAACTATTTGTTCATTTGATGTCATTACGGCATCAATGATTCCATTTTGGAATCTTGTCACATAATGCTCATTACTAGCTACTTTTCTACATTTTATCATTTCTGGAAAGGAATAATAAATTTTCTATATGATCTTTTTTGCCAAATTGATATTTAACTTGAGTTTTTCTGTAACTATCAGAAAATAATGGATCATGTGTCTCTAAATTAAGAAACTAGACAAATAACGGGAGAAATTTAACAGTTATTTTCTGAAGATACCAACCAAACACTGCCTTCACCATTCTTTAGAAAGTCAGCTACTTAATCATAGTGTTCTCTTGATTTTGCTTGTGTTTTATTGGCTTTCATCCACATAAAGGAAGATATATTAAGAACATAGGTGAGCTTTTAAAAACAATCTCATACATCTTATTTACCTTCTTTTATAAAAGAGCTCTCTCATTTAATCAAAGATAAACTACAATTGCAATATTTTTCTTCCTCACTTTTAATTATGTTAAAAATAGGTAACAAAGTGTGAATTCACCCACTTTTACAAATCTTTCCATGTGGATTTGCTTTAACTATTTTTATATACATTTTACTAACCAGATTTCTCTTCATCTCTGAAATCTTGTAAATGGCACAGGATGATGGGTGTTTATAATATTGACGATTAGCCTGAGATGTATATTTTGGTGCATGGGTGTATATCGGAAGAAAAGTCAAAGTGTATCATCTAACAGATAACCACATCCTGATTATTTGGATAAGGAGATGTAAAAATAAATGCTGAGTTTACACATGATTAATGGCTTAAAACCATGCTCCTAGCTAGTTAATTGAAAGACCAGGTTCCTAAATACGGCCTTTGGTACACTAACGCAAACAAACACCCTGTCACGTGCTACACAAAAGACATTTGATTAACTAGTTGAAACTTGATTGCTACCAAATTAGAAGCAGAGGAAATTATAGGGAGGAAAGGAAGACTCTATTTATCCCTTTTCCCTATTTTGTTGATAGTGGATAAATATAGCCCATAATTTAAAAATCTCCTTGGCCCATGTACACTCCACATCACAGAGGAAACCTCAAAGGATGCTCACTAACTATGCAAATTCATCAGAGTGTTTGCACTCTTTTTGCACAGCGTGCATTTTTATTGAGTTTGAATAGTATTCCTCCGGGTAGTGAGAGGTTTCAAAAGAGATGGTGATTTTTGTTTGTACTTTATCTTTGCTTGATTTACCCAAAGAAGGCTTTCACTCTGAGTTAATTAACTTGCAACTAGTTAACTAAATTTCCTCTGGGTGGATTTTTCTTTTTATGCGTCATCTCCGGCCAATTGATAATGCCCTACCATACCCTCTGATCATCCTTGGAAAGCAAGGTCAGTGCCATATTAATCTCCACAGGCTTCTACAGTAAACAGAAGTCACACCTATCTACTATAACATTAAATAAGCCTGAGTTAGGGCACACTACTAATGAAACTCCACGTTAAGGAGGCATTGAGACAGAATTTGGGTCTAGGATGCCTGTCATGCTATGCTCCTGAACAGCTCGGACCAGGCTTCAGGGGCTCAGAGTAGACACAAACTGGATGCTCTTTATTTACTCAAAGTTTGCTGACAATTATTTTTTATAGATATTGGGATAAACATTTCCTGAAAAATAAATCATGATAACCTTGAAAAAACCTGTATAGCTTCTCTGTTGCCTTAAATTAAAAAAAAAAATCCCTATTTTGAGTAATATCCTGGCCTAAGCATAATAGCAATAAGAGAAGCTGAATTTACTTTCGTTTCAAGTTTTTACCTCATGTGATGAAATCAGAAAGATGCTTCCTAGGTTTCTCCCTGGATGTTACCGCAGATGAGTGTGTGGTTATGCATTCAGTGGTGGCATAATTTATAGGCCTGAGGAAAGCTGAGGTTAATCCTGAGACTAAATGCTTCTCGCCCTGATCTTGTTCTGTGGTGTGGTTACTGTGCATTATATGTGTATGTATCAACTAAATTGTGTGCGGTAAGGCTGATATATTTGCAGAAAACATTTTTGTGATTATAGTTCACATTTAATGAGAGAGAGAGAGAGAGAGAGAGAGAGAGAGAGAGAAAGAGAGAGAGAGAGAGAGAGTACATGGAACTTGCCTTAGAAAATTTGTGTGTACTTCATTTATTTTTAGACAACAGCACTATCACATAATTTTGCTTCTTAAATAAACTGCTGAATAAAGAAATGTTTGTTGGTGTTTATATGTTAAGCTTTGATTGAAAGACTTTGGTATGCACAAACTCAGTTTATATTGCAATAATCCTCCAAGTTAACAACTGGAATAGTGGATAGATCCAGCTGGAGAGGAATGGAATTCTGTCAATTAAATTTGGGATGCAACATCCATTGTTTTTATTCTGTTGGAGCAGTCATGGTTCCTATTGATGCATTGCCATTTAAGTCCAGCAGTACAGATATGGTGCAAATATATTTAAATTTGACTCTTAGGAGAAGACTGTCCATAGGAAAGAGTTTTCATTATTCAGAATCAGTATAGCAATGAATCATTCCAAGTGCGTTTGAAAGAAAAAAAGATTGAGAATCATTTTGGAAAAAAAAAAAGAGAAAACAACCTGGAATGAAGGAAAGTGCTAG